ATTCCTCATGCGCTCTCACCAACGAACGCTGCAGGCCGATGGCATCGATATCATGGATGGCTCTCACTGGATCCCATCCGCTCCGTTCCAACGTTTTGCAGCGCACGCCTGCAGTGGCAGGAAGCGTCGCATTTCCGACGCGTCGCTGCCGCCACATGCTGCTGATAATGCACACCGATTTTTGATCTACTATCGCTGTCGTCTCCGTTCCACGTGTTATCTGTTCCACGTCTCTTACAAGCTCTTTCCCATGCAGCGCAAGTGTCCTCTCACCGACTGATGTGATACCGTCGCGGAAACACATTAGCCGTCCGCGCGCGACATGCCGTGGAAGGCGAGTCGGTAGCGCAAGCAAACTTTCCATTCCACACCGCCGCTGATCCATGGCGGCTACCCATTCCCACGGTACTAGCTTGTCCTCGTCTGCCGCCGACATAACTCGCGTCGCTCGGTCGCTACACTAACGCACACATAAACAATTCAATGCAAATCGCGTTCTCCTATACGATATACGCCGTCGTGATAGACAGAAAAAAATTGTATGCCTGTCGCTATTTTAGCGTGACATATTCCGGTTGTTCACGTTTTAGCACGTTTCCCCAACTTCGTACCATACGCTATACGGATGGGAGTTTTCCGCATGCTGCCGCGTTCACATTGTATTCTGCATTCACGGACTAGGTCTCCGGATGCCAAGGCACGAAACACGAAGGGAACGGCCCCGACTCGCATGCCGGTAACGTGCACACGTATAAACACTGTCCGGAACGGGACAGAATGGTTTTCACACGGTCGAGTTGCTAGCGGTGGACTCAGGACCCGACCATGGCGCGTCCCGGCGTCGGTAGATGGCGGACCGACGCTGGGGACATGTTTCAGCGTATTGGTGGACAATCCCAATGTTTCTCCACCCCTGAACTAGAGCACGCGTAAGAATATCGTCCACTGCTAGAACCAACACGTGCTACGAAAGGAAAGATAGGCAGCCAAGGTTTATTCAAGTTACATTGAAAGAAGATGATACACATCGGAATCTGAGTAAGTGTATATAACCTACAAATTGTCGGAGGAATTTCACCCCCGGGCCCGGCTCGGAAAGAGCGACAACTTCCGAATTAGGCAGTTGGAGTGCGAAAGCTCAGACGCTGTGATAAGTGATAAGCGCATGTTCTTCACGAGTGGGCACCTGCGTAGACGTCGGGGTGAGAAGCCAGCTGCGAATTGTTGACATGATCGGCGATCCATTTCAAAAGGACTGAACGGTAAAATGAAGCTGTGCGTTAACAACTGACTGTGCCGTGTCTGCCCAGTGGCGGCGCTCATGAATAAGGGACGCTTGCAAGGCAGGAATCCATGTACATTTGAAAAGCGAGAAAGCTTGGTTACTTCATCCAATAGGGAAGGACAAAAGCATAGTATAAAATAGACACGAATTCCGACTGCAAAGGGGCCAGCTCACGAACCAAGTCAGTAGTAGGAAACGCGTACTGGATTCAAAAGTGAATAACACCAGTTGCAACAGATCGCATGAAATTATCCGCACCAATGAAGGCACATTACATCTAACGATGAAGGAAGATCTTGAGAGAATAACGAAAGGCAGGACAGGCGAAGACAAACATGACCAAAGATAATTGTGTGGAGTGTTGCAAGCTGCAGTGAGAGTATTACATAGTGGCGTCGGGACTGTTGCACAAGACCTGCGTCAATTACGCTAGTACCAGCGGTGAGGACAACATGGAATGATATAGCATGCACGCACGGGTATCCAGCGTTATACTTGACATTTCGGCTAGTAAGCTCAGGCAACAGTGAATGGGCAAAATTACTGTCCTAGACACGGTGTAATGTGCGCCACACGACGGGGGCGTACGGTACGAAGACGTCGCGCATACGCAGGGCTGCCAGATCGCGATGTCTGAGCGTTTGTGGTGCGCGAGATTGACCAAAACTGACATATGGGGAAGTAAGAGCAGATCTGGTTAATGTTACGTCCTTTTAACTTGATTATCTACCGCACAACATATTCAGACGTCGCTACAGATTATATTGCAGTCGATGGTGGTGCTCCTGTGGCGGGTTGACCTGAATTCTGCCTGTCGCTCGATATATCCCCGTGCACATCTATTGATGTTCGCGCACCATTCATAAATAAATAGTGACGGCGAGAAAGTTTCACGACACAGTCCTTCCACTGCGGGCTGCAGTGGGGCTGTAAATGCAAAATTGACTCCGAGGGTCAAGGAAACGCGCCGCCGACATACCGTGCGGAGCAGGTGGGAGGGGGGTGGAGCGCCGACATGTCAAACATCGGTTGGATACCACGAGCACATTGAAATATTTCTGTTTGCAGGGATCCGATGAACACAGCGAGGCATGGCGTGAGCTCGGACGACTGGTTTAGGAGTTGAGACTAACCTCGGTCGCGCATAAGTATAGCTCGCAGAAGCCGGCACAATGAAACGGTGCTAAGACGACCAGAAGAGGAATATGGCGACTGTAGACAAGTAGCCACAGTGTTATGGGATGACGTGCAGACCTTGCATTATGTTCGAACAACACGTTTTGCCCATAAGGGACAAGAACAAAGGATAGACGGTGCGACAGTGCGAGAGGAAGCACCTTACATGTGGGTGGACACGAGGCGCCGAAGCAGGTTGTGACAGGAGTGGTTATTGCGGTTTGGGGCGTCAAGACGATGTGAGAGATAAACGAGCTTGATGAGTGGCACCTAGAGCCTCATGGCACGGTTGTGTCCTCGGCGCGACAGGCGTTGAAGGATGACAGCGATGTCTGTGGCTCAGATGGAGAAGCCCTGAAGAAAGTGGACTTCGACGAGAATCTGTGGCAAAGGGTGGCTAATATTTTTACTCGTGCATTAGATAAATGAAGAGGAATTCTGAGCGATTATCCGTGCATGTCGCGTCCCCACGTACGCCATGCACTAATTACTGGTGGTGTGAAACGCAAGAATGTCGGTGGACATCCACCACATGTCGAATTCTGAGGTCCAGACGCGTTTGCGCTCTGCTCGAACATTGAAGCAACTCGGCCAGATAAACCGAGCCAAGGGGTCGAGCTGCCTTTAGCTTGAAATGGTGTTGTGGGCGCGGAGCCGGTGGGCTGGCGGGTGATGGCATGTGGCTGCGGCGATCGACCGTCGCAGCCATGACATTGTTTGAAGTAATCCGAGTAGAACGATCTTTCCCCGGCGTCGTCCAGCGCATTCCTCCTCATATATATACACTACAACCTTTCATAGATTCCGCCTCTAATATCTCGTCTCAAGCCATGTTTACCAGCTCGCGTGCAGACAGCCCTCCGCCCCGTGCACCCACTCCGGACTACGAATTCACGCCATTATCTCCCCCTCGTTCTCGAACGGTTTCCACCGCAAAAACATTCAAACAGCCAGCACCCACCCAGCGTCCCTTGCGCTCCGTACGGTCTGCCAGCCACATCCATAAGTCCCGCAGGCATCTTCGCGTCCTCGAGGAATGCGACGCGCGGTTGAGAAAAGCAAAGTCACAGTCTTCAGTACCTCTCTCCACGCCCTCTTCCCCCGCTTCCACTGCTTCCTTGACTTTGTCAGCCACGTCGTTCACGACCAGCTCGAAGCGCAGTGGCCGTCGCACACTGTCCCTAGCAACCCCGTACCTCTCCCCACCTCCAAGCCCCATCATCTCGCAAGCCCCTCCACCGGTCCCGCCTATCCCAGCCTTTGTGCTAGACCCGCCTTCGCCTCCGTACACGAGGCTCAGGCACTCGTCATCCTCTGATTGCAACGTTTCCTCGCTCCTCGGCCGGCCCATAATGCCGCGACTGCGGCAGAGGCAGTTTGCAGACGGTGTTCCCCCCACCTGCTCTGGGTACTTAGGCCTGCGTACTAAGGATGCTCAACTCTCTCGATTTGCCGCTGCATGAATGGATGGGCAATGGGCCCTCAGATGTGGTATCTACGTCGGGCCCCTTGCACACCGTCGCGGATTGCTGTACATCAATCTCTCCCTCTTTCTTGGCGATGGCACTGCGTGCCTACCACGACTAGTAATCCAGCATATCCTACACTGTGAGCCGCCTTGCAACAACTCTGCAGGGTGGCTTCTCCCGATGATGCTCCTAATTATCTCTACCGCTTACCTCTTCTGCGACGGACGCCACGCTAAGTTTCCAGACCAACCGGCCTCGATGTACCTTATTCATCATCTTAATGCCTACCATTTACATTCCGTCTTCAGCTAATACTGGTCCCTTCTACTTATACTCACGCGGTTCGTTGCCCTAATAGCCTCATCTCCCTCGTCCTCCGCGCCCTGCCATCCATCCATTCTCTTGATGTCGCTAAGCTCGTGTTGTGTGTATTATCACCGCTCGCGCTCCCGCCCTTCGGACTCTTGTACCTATGTACTTCATGCTATTGTATTTTATTCTCCCAGTCCCATGACGTCGGACATTCGTAGCTACACGTATCTTGCTCCCCTGCCTCTCAAACAAATCCTTTGACATGTCTTTTCACGAGCCACTCAGTAACTCTTTCCAGCTTTTTGCCGTTTTTTTCTTCGCCATCATCATTCCTCTTCGCCTCCATTAATTTGCATTCACCTTATCAAGATCTTCCTTTTAGCACTGGCACCTCTTTAATCCACACCCACACATGCTCTTCAATTTGCACATTTTTATAATCTATCTTAGTATCTATTCGTCATTTATTATTTGCCCTTCCTTCCCATCTCATTTCAGTTCGCGAGTTACATACACGTCATTCACCTGTTCATGTTTTGCACCTTTAGTCTTACGCTTGCATAAATACTTTTTTTTTTCGTTCTTTCGTCGATGACATTCATACATACCATACGTACTTGCTCGATATTTTAGTCAGACCGTCGCTTTCTTCTGAATGTAACTGATCATGAAGCAAGGTCAACACGAAGAAACGGCAAACCGCCAACTCCTCGGCAACCGTCACCGCCGGCTAAATAACGAAAAGCACAAAACTGTAGGGCCGCCTGGCGAAATGGCATCGCGTCTGATTACGATTGGCTAATCAGGAGATTGCAGGTTCGACCCCTGCGGTGGTCATACATCCTCGTATGTTTTCTGCAAATCTGCGGTTAACCGACGCCGGCCACAGCACACACCATATCGCTGCGCTGCGGATGCCATAGCTGAGCTAGTAAAAGCTATATAAACGATGGGTGACCCATAGATTAGCTCACTCCGATGCATGGGCAGTGAGTGCGAGTGTGTCCCTCTCATGTATACGCTATACACATCTTAATGTACAATTCCTATTGTCTTCATCTATATTCTCTCTTTGTCATGTTTTGTCCAGACAATACGACCATTCTATTCCGATATAAATGACGTCGCTATTTGTGCAATGGCACCAGCGTGAAGACAATGTTCGGACGACAAAGTAGCAAACATGACAACTACTCTGCAATGTAACAGACAATGGTGAACACAAAATGTAGGCACGTGCGACACCTCATTGCGAGAAGTATTCAATGAGCAATCTTGGAGCATGGTTTGAGTCCACGGTGAGGTCACACAGGTTATCGGATTGATATGTCGAGGGACGCAGTGATAAAGCATCTGGAGGGAAAACATGTTGTACTTGTTTGGTTGCGAGGTCAGCCTCTTTAGCCGAAGATTGCTCACTTCGTTCGCAACAAAAAAAGCGCAAAAGTGTGACGTCAGATACACACATACACTACATACGTAAACCATAATGAACAAAAAAAAAGTGTGGTCCCTCTCATGTATACGCTATACACAGCTTTATGTACATCCTGTTGTCATCATATACACCCTCTCTCTGTCGTGATATTGTCCAGAGAACACGACTCTTTCTATTCCGATATAAATTGAACAGGGCTCAATACACAAAATGGGAGATAGAGAGGGAGAGAGGGAGAGAGAGAGAGTTGGGAGAATATACAGTAGCAATACATGATCAAAACGACTCTGCAAGTAACAGGTAATGATGAACACAAAATGTTTGCAGGTTGATGATAAACAATTGCGAGAAGTATTCAAAGTGCAGCTGTTGGTGCATGGTTGGAGGGGAAGGTGGGGTCACAGCGGTTATCGGATTGATATGTCCATGGGACGCAGTGGGAAAGAATATGGAGGGAAGGGATGTGGTGCCGGAGTAGCGGGTGCGGCACGAACTATAAAAGACGTGTATGTGACGAGGTATGATACTAGGCAGGCTTTCAGGCGGCCAATTCGCGTGTATGTCACATATGAACAGACGGGAGGTCAAAGGAAAGGGAATAGAATGCACATATCAATAGACAAATGTACGGGATGAGCTAGAAGAAAGCGATATGTGAGAGGTTGTTACTTACTTATATAATGCACATAAAGTGTGTGTAACAAGACAAAAAACAACGGAAAGCAAAGATCATAATAAGGACGATGACAATAAAGAAAAACCAGAGTGGATAGGCGAAGAATACGGTCCATACAGACGTTACAGAAGGTGCGGAAGGGAAGCACGCGGAGTTGGCAGTGGGCGGCGGGATGATTGTGAAGATACCCACGCGACTATGTTAGAAAAAGAAGGAACACACGACGACTGCTATGCTCCCCGGATGACCTGTGTTGCAGACATGCCCCGTCGGTGGCTGGAGCCCAAGTCGATACTCGACAACGGTTTCGAGAGGATATGGAAAGCTGCTAATCGGCGGCCTGCGGTATTAGCCACGGTAGGGGTAGCCATGTCGTCCGGGGAAGCGGGCGGAGAGGACGGAGGATCAGGGAATTGCGCATACTGTAACGATGGACCCACAAAGCTCTCATCGAAGATTTGCCCATTCCTAGAACCTGCATAAAGTATGGAATTGGAACCCGACGTGGATCGCTTCAATTGCCGCGGCATCGTAGCGGGGGGTGTCGCAGAGGTCGACGCGGATGACATAGACGGGCGTGGCACGGAAGTAGTCGTCCCTCTGCGCGCATGGCCCTCTGGGTTTGGCGATCCGCGCTGCGACGCGCCAGACGGGCTGCCCTGTGTCGACCTCAATTGAGCAGCAGACGCGGACGGCCGCAACCGCCGCGGAAGTCCACCCAAGGGCAAGTTGGACAATGGCAGACTGTCCGGATGGGGGGCCGCTGTTGTCATCGATGGTAGAGCAGAAGACCCATTCTGCGATCTGTTCTCAGTAGAGGTTGTGCCCTGGCTGCCACTCCTATTGCGATTCATGTACTTCTCCATTGCGTCCGCGTCCCGTTCTCGGACGCGATTGGCGATCGGTGAGAGCGCGGAAGCCGGATTAGCAAACGTCGACGCAGGATTGGGAACGGGTGGACTGAGAGAGCCATTGGACAACGGGCCAAGGCCGCCATGATGCGAACTGGATGCGGAAAATGATGATTGGCTTCTAGACTGACTAGCGTTGTCAACATCGCCGCTGTCAGACGTCGCTGTCGTCCGACTCGTGCCCGAACCACTCCGCATCCGCGGCACCTTCTTCATGACTTTTGAGGGCACATACGATGGCGGTATTGGTGTCGCGTGACTGCCCCACTCACTTCCGCGTGCGGCTGCTTGCTGAAATATTGCACGGCGAGTCTTCTTGTTCATTTCGTATTGGATGCGCGCCGTCTCTTGCAGCGTCTCGCGGGTGCTGTAGCTGCAGATCGTATTAGAATTGAAAATGTTGACATAGGAAGCTCATACGAGTAAGCATAATCCGACGGTGTAAATCCATCGTTATTGCGCGCACTAAATTGGCAACCACGTTCGATGAGCAATTGCACAATCTGCGACAGAGTGTTCAACGGCGAAATGACCATAGGCGCTGCCTTTACTTACAGCAATATGACCCCATGCACTCGCGCTGTCATTCGTGAGTAATATATATCTCATTTGTCAACAAAATGACCTACTAATGCAGTGGCGTATTCCCCTTATTGTCGGCGAGATCGAAATCGGCACCCAGATCACAGAGCATCTACGACAGGTGAGACTGATAAAACAATGTGGGGAAGGGCCACATACCCGTACTAGTTCCTCATTCCCTTTGAGTGCCGCAAAATGGAGGGCGGTTTTGCCCTCATTGTTCGACCAGTCGAGTGTGTGGGGATATCGATCATAGTACATGCGGCTCATGCGCAACGTTGCACCTGAGTCGACGGCGAGGTATTCCTCGTACAGACTTGTCGGCGTGCGCTGGTCAGCAAGCAGCATGAGAATAGTGTTGTCGTCTGCATCCTACATCGTGGGTCAAAATATGCGGTCAAATGCGGAGGGCCGGACACACTTTGCTGATTTCTTCATCATCATGGCCCTGGGAGAGTAGAAACTCGAATGTCTCCTCGTGACCATAGACAGCGGCCCAGGCTAGAGACGTGTAACGCTTGTCATCTGGATCGGGGTTGCGAATGTCAGCGCGCTGGAGAAGGCGCCTGACAATAAATAGATTGTTTTCTTGGTCAAATGGTCAAAATGGGGTGCAGTGGGGTGGGATGGGTGGAATGGCCACATACCCTTGACGGCTCTGCGGAGCCTGGCGCTGGTGTCCTTCTCGGCCATTCGCTGCGTACGCGGACAGGTTGCGTGCGAGCCAATAAAGCGAAGCTAGGGTGGAAGCGGGAAGTGAAAACAGAGGACGGCGGCTGAGAACTGAACTGATTATATACGACCACTGACAGCACGCCGCCGGTATGAGCCATTATGATTATGACTGCCATCAGCACCGCCATCCATCATCGAATTCGAAATCAATAATTAATCTTCAGATCTCTTTCTCTGTCACTCTCGTTTTGAACGCCTTTACGTCCTCACGATGCCCAAGGTGCTTTGAGTCCATCATTTCCGACCTCTCAGCTGATCTACTTAGGTCGTCTCACGCTCAGCTGTCTCGTCATCGGCCGATGGTCTGTTTCGACGCTTTCTGATGCACCGCCTCTGTTGACGACCTCGTCCGTCTCTATTATGTCTATCTATATATACAGCACAGCCCACCAAGTCGTCCGCTGCGGCACTGCGCACATACTGTCCGTCCCATGTTTACTGAAGGGTGCTCGATCTATGTCATCTGTTTCTAACGACGCTATGTATATAGACTGCCTGTGTGGCGAGTTCATCGTACGTTTTTTTCCATTTACCAGCGGCGCTCGTCCTCGGCCCTACCCAGCTCGCCGTAATATTCACTCCTCACACTAAAAGCTCGTGATCGACAAGCCGCTTAATTCTCTTCCTCGGCGAAATACCGACAACAGTGTAGTCATCCGCACGCAGGACACCGAGGCAGGCCCGGCACGCGCCTACAAGCTCAATACGGTGCTCAGCGAGCCTTTCCTCCTCGAACGGTATGGAAACAGAAAATGACATTGATTATATGATCCTAACGAGAAACCCACTACAGAAGTGACGGGCATGAGCGACAGTACCGTCACAAGTGTCCACGATGTACACTACCAGTCGGATACCAGACAATGCCACCACCATGCCCATACGTATATATCCTTTCCGGCGCACTGTCGCAGACACAAGGCCAGATTCCGTCGGACGCGTTCGACGGAGAGCACCCACTACCGTCGGAAGACAAGCCTGCAGAAGGGTCAGGATAGGAACTGGACGTAAGGAATTTGGGTGTGGGAAGCGGCTCAGATACCGTTGTAGTAGAATAGTCATGAGATATACTTCATACAGTGTGAATAATAAAATGTCTATCATAGCCAAAGGAGATGACAGAAAAGGAGAACTCACCAAAGAAAGCTAAGGAAGAGAGGAAGAAAACTTCGAGTCGCGGTTTTATGGAAGTTCGATCGCCGATCAAACACCAAATATGTACATACCATGACTCATATCCTTGCTACTCTTTCTTCGGGCCTGAGTTTCACTTCGAGGTCAAGCTCACTTTTTTCATTTAGCCTGGTTTCTGGTGGCACTCCTCTCCGTTTCATCGTCCCGTGGGGAGAGAATAGCACGATAAACCAAGTTTACAGTTCGTCTCGTCGTTAACGCATATCGTGGACCTGTCATTAGCACTTCATCACGGAGCCAGATCCAGAGGCGCCCTTGGCTTTTCGGACAGACGAGTGGGGAGTAGCGTGTTATATGAGCG